CCCCCGCGCACGCGCCCGTGCCACCCATGCGCACAACCTTCTGTGGGACTGGTTTGAAGTTTTCTAAAAAAATATATATATATTATTGTGTAAAAATTTTGACAGCATTTCCCCATAAATATAAGCTTCCCCAAAGCCATAATAACCTGCTGAATACATTTTACGACCCGTTGAATATAATAAGTGTAAATATATTGTAACACCAAAATTTAACACCAAAATTTATAAGTCATGTTTACATCGGTGCGTTCTTACATTTCTTCTGATAGTGTCCATATTGCCCACACCTAGCACATCGATTCTGTCTTCGTGTGAACTCACCTATGCTGGGAATGCGTTTTTGCTTTGGCTTACCCCTCTTTGGTACAACTCGCAGTGGTAGAAGGTGAACTTCCTTTACGTGATTCGGAATATCCCATTGCGAAGTATCCGGCACAGGATAGATTGTCTCAGCATACGCAAGAGCCCAAACTTCTGTCCTGTAGTATTTTGAGCATAAATCATAGAGTGACATTCATGATATTACATGCTCGCATGGTATCTGCTCAAGTTCGAACACACGGCAAGTGCAACTCCTCGCTCCAATGTTGACAATTGCATTGGCCTCTCCACCTGTCACTTGGAACTCAACAGTATTAAGTCTTCTGGCCATTAGAAATCCTGCTTTGTTGTGCCTCTCACGAAGAGTTTTTTCCACACTTGGCGTTAATAATGTTTTAGTTTTAGAAGCTTCGACCCGCCTGTTATTAAACCACTCTGACATCTTCGCTTGTATAAAATTAAAGAGGGCAATGACAGGGTAATCTCGAACATCTTTGAGCATTGCATTAACTGACTCAGACATGTTTGTGGTCATAATATTATATCGATTTCTTTTAAAATGAGCATGAGACCACATTTCAAAACGAACTTGCTCCTGTAGGTATCTAGCAACACTGGGATATCTTGCAGACAACTCATCAAACAAGACAGAAAACTCGTCAATGCGGTAGGCCTCAGCGGTTTTAAAGAACAATGGCAGAACACCGCTACATATGAAATTACTCTTGATGTTTTGAGACACATGCCATGTGCAACAACCGTGATGTGCTAATGAATAAACTGTAGACAATGCATTACTTATACTTTGATTCCTATCAGAAATAAAAACTAATTCCTCAGAATCAGTGATAATCACCTTCAAGTTCGAGAAGAACCATGTCCAGGATGCATCATTCTCTGAGTCTACAATGGCCCATGCGATGGGATAACAATGACGTTCACTATCTTGTGTAGTGGCAACTAACAACATACCTCTGAATTTTCCCTTCAACCACGTTCCATCAACACTGATAACTTTCCTCATGCAACCAAAACCTCGTATAGAAGGTCCATATGCTAGGAAAAGATAGATAACATGGTTCTGTTCATCAAAATGAATATTGGTGATGCTATCGTGATTAGTAAGAGACACCATATGAAAGTATGATGGGAGCTTAGTGAAGCTTTCTTCGGCCATACCTCTTACGAGTTGAAGTGCATGCTCACGAGCCTTCCATCCTTTGTAATAACTAAAGTCCGTCGAACGCTTTTCTAACGAGCAAGAGTGAACACCATTATACTTGCGGATTACAAACATGTTCGACAGTCTCAGTTTGCAGGCTCGGATACGCCACACACATTTCGGATCCACACACTCTACTACAAGCACGTCTTTATTTGATTTTGTTGTTTGAAACTCAAACTTCCCTTTCAAAGCTATTAAATGCAGCTTTTCCTTCAAATCATTCTTACTTGTAAAGTACTGACCAACCTCTAAACTAGATCCATCACTGAAAGTAGATCCATGAGATGATCCAAACTCAGTCTTGTCCATACAAACTAAAGGACCAGCAACTTCTACTTCATTTAAAATGGTAAGCGGTTGTGGCTCTAGCTGTGGCTGTGACTCTGGTTGTGGTTGTGATTGTGGTGGAATATCATTATGAGTCGAAAACTCATCTGTAGCTACATTACCCATAAAATCACGATAAAAAAAATCATCATGCAAAGGATTTCTCATAATTTTGACTCCATCAATATGTTCTTCGGGATTCATAAACTTCCCATCCACTATCACGTGTAGCGGTACCTCGTGGGCTATATCCCTGAAGAATAACAAATCATAATTGTCTTTTATTACAACGGGCAACGATTTTTGTTTCAAATTCGGTACCTATGATAGTTGTAAAGAATGTTTTTGTCCATCAATTCTGCATTTTTTACAAATCTTATCAACGAAGGTTTCGAGAGTATCCTTCTCATCCATATATATGCCAATTAAATTACAATCTGTATGCCACACCCAACAACTTTCAGTCTCATCCCATTTTCCTCCAATGTCAAAAAAAATCCTCCACTGAGCCATTATTTAGATTTTCAAACTGCAAAAATTTAATCAAGATAATAATATGTCATTAAACCAAACCAAATATCCCACGACCAGACTAAGAACATACCATATAATGAGAACAGACCAAGAACATACCATATAATAAGAACAACCCAAGAACAAACCAAGAACAGACTAACAACTGACTGTGCAATAAGAACAAACTAAAAACTGACAGTGCAATAAGAACAGACCAAGAACAGACCAAGAACCGACCATGTTATAAGAACATACCAAGAACAGACTAAGAACCGACCATGTTATAAGAAGAGACCAAGAACAGACCAAGAACCGACCATGTTATAAGAACAGAGCAAGAACAGAGCAAGAACAGACCAAGAACCGACCATGTTATGAGAACAGACCAAGAACAGACTAAGAACCGACCATGTTATAAGAACAGACCAAGAACCGACCAGAACCGACCATGTTATAAGAACAGACCAAGAACCGACCAGAACCGACCATGTTATAAGAACAGACCAAGAACCGACCAGAACCGACCATGTTATAAGAACAGACCAAGAACCGACCAGAACCGACCATGTTATAAGAACAGACCAAGAACCGACCAGAACCGACCATGTTATAAGAACAGACCAAGAACCGACCATGTTATAAGAACAGACCAAGAACAGACCACGAACCGACCAAGAACAAACTTTTTTTTTTCTAAACCCGGCGGATCTTCATCATATCAGACAATGTAAACTAGTCTTTTAACATGTACAATTACTATTTTAATGGATTTTTAACTACATTATCATCTTAAAAACATATGAACAACAACGAAAAACACCATGAGAGATATAGAAAATGAAAGACTTACTTAGTAGCTCTTCTTCAAACTTCGTTTTGGACGAGAAAAAAACGTTGAACAGGCAAGATAATAATATTAATGAGGTTATGCGATGACGATGACTTGAGAAGAAGAGAGGAGCAATTGTAGGCGGCTGGGAGAACAAAATGGCGCGAAATGGAAGAGGAGGAGGAGAAAGAAAACCCTAAAACCATAATTGATGACGTGGAATGCTGACGTGGAAGTTGGATTATTTACCCAATTTATTTTTTTGGTGGTTTATTTACTTAAAAACACATTTTACTTAGTCTATTTATACAAAGTTCCCGGAAATGGAAGCAAATAGTTGCCGTCATTTTTGCAGAGAAATTTTGACAAAAGAGACCGGAAGAAAATAGAAATCGGGAATCTAGACAAATTTTTTTTTTATAACAAAAAACCTTTCGTCGTGTATCTTACGTGTTAAAAAATAAATTACGTGTGTATCTTACGTGTTAAAAAATAATCATATTTTAATTTATGTGTACATTTTAATCTTTGTATATAGATTGTTTAAACAAATTTTTCCTCTCTCAAAACTGAACGGACCCTTCTCTCTTACCGACTGACCTTTCATTTTTTCTTTCTTTTTCATTTTTTTTCATTTTTTTTCTTTTTCCTTCCCTTCCTTCCCCGTGGCTGCCCAGACTCCCTTTCCTCTCTCTCATCTGGTTCTCACGGCATCTCTATCTTCTTTTTGTTCTTCGACGCCGACCACTTCCCCTCCGGCAGCTCTATCTCCCGCCGGGCCACTTCTCCTCCGGGATCTCTGTCTCCCGCCGGCCTTCTCTCTCCGGCCATTTTTTTTCTCTCTCTCCCTCGCCGACCGATTCCTTCCGAACACTGACCGACCACCCCAACGCCGACTGACCTTCCCCAAACGCCGACCAACCCTCACGAATGCCGACCGACCACCCCGAACGCCGACCGACCTCCAGAACTCCGACCTGACCCTCTCGAACGCCGACCGGGGTCTAAATTTTCTTTTTTCCTTACTGTGAGTATTTTTATCAAATTGATTGTCCAATATGGTGATTTCTTTTTTCCTTACTGGAATGTTGTAGAGTGCATATGACAAATTTTCATTTTGGTTGTGACGTCCATGATTCTCTGTATATAATCTTTTGATTGTGAATGTGTAACTGTTTCTTTAGAATGAGAGTAGTGGCAGTCCTAAATGCTGGTGAAAACTAAAGGAGTAGGAACTTTTGTTCATTCATGTAGCTGTGTGATGCCTGTAAATAAAGTACAAGGATCAAATTACGTGATGTACTCATTGTAGTGTGTATATATCTCACAACAAGTGAAAATTCTTTTTTTATTCGTTAATGTTCTTTAGTGGTTTTTTTTTTCATACGATTGTTGAATCTGAGCCTATATGTTTTTGCATAGTTATGATTCAAATGCATTGGAAGATTGCATTGGAAGATTCTTTAGTCAGCAAAGGAAAGGATAGTCTGCTAATTCCTACACACGCTGAGGTACAATATTGTAAGTTTGTGCATGAATTTTAATTTTTCTCTATTTAATTGATCATGAAATTTTGTGCATGATTTTATATTTGTAGGTTAATTAAGTTATTTGTTTTATGAACCTCCAGAATTTGACTGAAATGACATCACAAAGCAGCTCTTCTTCCTCAACTAAGATGGTTATTTCCAGAATTCCTATCGACGAGGCAACAAAATCTTCTCTCCCTCAGGTAACATTAAGATTTTATTATCTGAATTAACATTAAGATTTTATTCTTATTTTATTTTTTTAATTACATTTTTGCAAGAACAAAACTTAATATAAGAAAAAACAAAGAATATACATTAGTGTGTGTCATGGTCGGTTCTAGGTCAGTTTCGGTCAGTTCTAAGTCTGTTCAATCATGCTCATTCTAGATCGTTCATGGTCAGTTCTAGGTCAGTTTTAGGTTAGTTCCAGGTTGGGTCGGTTCTTGGTCGGTTTTAGTTTGGTTTGAGGTCGGTTCTAGTCGATTTGGTCGATTCTAGTTGGGAAGGTCGGTTCGATCAGTTCTAGGTCGATTCTGAGTCGGTTCGGGGTCGGTTCGGTCAGGTCTTGGTCAGTCAGTTCTAGGTCAGTTATTAGTCAGTTTTGAGTCGGTTCGGGGTCAGTTCGGCTGGGCTTGGTCGGTTCGGTTAGGTTTGGTCGGGTTCGGTCGGTTCTGTCTGTTCTTGGTCGGTTCTTAGTCAGTTCGGTCGGTTCTTTTCGGTTTGGTCGGTTCTAAGTTGTTCGGTCATTCTGACCAATGTGTTTTTTCTTTTTTTTTTTTAATTAGAATGACTTCCCAAAGTACAACCCAGATGAACTTCCTGGGATTGGACAACTAAGGATGGTCATGGATCCTATACAGGAGTACTTTCCAGGGAAAATCACTATGAAGTCAAAGATAAAGGCCCTGGATGTTATAAGGCAGAATTTAGACCCCGAAATTGATATGTCAATTTTCAATGGATCTGCCTTGGGACATTTGATTTCGATGTCTGAAAACATGATATATTTTAGAGTGTTGACACACTATCTGCTTCTAAGGTAGATAGAAACAGAAAAAAAACATGAGTTGTGATTCCTGGTTAATGGAAAGCTAGCTCGGTTCGGGATGAGGGAATTTACTTTAATCACTGGATTGAACTGCGGGGAAATCCCAGAGCTGGACGTAGTGTTGAAAGCTTCGAAGAACATGAGATTGTTGGAGCATTTTAAGGCCCAAGTAGTACTTGTTGCTGATTTAGAGAAATTGCTCACAAAGAACAAGATAAAAGGTGCTATCATTTACTTTTTAGCACAAGTATTACTATCTGGGTACGAGAAGAAGACCGTCCCACTGGATTGGTTGTCGTACGTCGACGATTTAGATTTCTTTTACACCTATCCATGGAGCAGGGTGTCTTTTGAATGCACTCTACGGTCTTTGAGGTAGAACTTGAAAGAGAAATTTCAGAAATAGGATCGGAAAGGACGTAATAAGAGCATTAAAGAAACATACTCAATATGCGGGTTTCCTTGGACCTTCCAGGTATGTCTGACAGTTATATGCATAATTTTTAATCATGGCTTTATAGTAAATAATACATCATTTTTTGTTTTACTAGTCTTAAAAAAATTTATTTAACGCATGTTTGGGCATTCGAAACTTTTCCAACTATCGGCGCCACGTTTGCAAAGATGGTTGATGAACGTTTTCCCAGAATGCTCAAATGGGAGGCACGTCGGGTTTCCTTGGTTGAGGTTGGACAGATAGACGACCTTATGCAAAGTGGCAAGGTAAGGATTTGAATACAATGTGTTTATAGGTATTTTTATTGGTCTGTTATTCAATAAGTAGGCATATTTATTTTTTTACAATATGTTTCCACCTGAATAATCCTTCACATTATGTTCTTTTAATATACATGGAATGGTCGTACCAATTCTTTTTTCCATTAAAGAAGAAATGAGTAGTATGTACATGAGGTTGTATCTGCCTTATGCCGACTAAGAAGATGCAGAGATTGACCAACTTGCATCATTTTTTGACTCTGGTGCAATAATGGTCCATGTCCAGAAACAACAATATTCTCATCTCCAACAATAACTTTCCCAACAACAACAACAACAACAACTTCCCCAACAACAACAAACACAACAACAACAACAACAACAACAACAACAACAACAACAACAACAACAACAAACACAACAACAACAACAACAACAACAACAACCTCGTCCCCAGGATGGTATGTCTTTTGATTACATACTT